TGCTGACCCCTGGCGGCTCTTCCATCTCAAAAGTCTGGCGACCTTTGGACTAGATGATCATGATCCTTGATTCTTCTGACATTCAAGGAGTTTATTATTTAAATAATAATGATAGATACCTGCATTTTTGTTCCTATTTTGATTTCACTTGTAATGTGGCCTTAAGCAAGCTTCTTCCATCTCTAAGTCTCAGTATCTTAACCTGTAAAATAGGAGATATGAGGGTTGGACTAAATTCGTAGGTTTGTAAACTTTTCCACAAATCCTGGGGAGTCCTGTAGAGTTTCTCTAAGGTGTACCCCAATGCTAAGGCTGCACAGAAGGGGAGAAAGGAGAGGTCCAACAGGAGTTCTAAGTGTCCTGTGTCTTCTTCAGGCAGATTATGTTTAATTTTATCTGTTTTTTTTTTTATATGGGGCTTCTTTGTAATGTTTCACTAGTAAAAAACAAAGGTCCATTGCAAAGGAAAACAAAAACTTGAATAGACGTGCTCTAAAGCCTTAAGTATTAAAAGTGGGATTCAATAAAATATGTTGTTTGGTAGCTTCTTTTTGTGGTTGTTTTAGCAAAACAGCATACTGTGAGCATCCTTTCAAGTTAAAAACAAAAAGACATTGACTGCACAGCATTCCCTTGCGTAAATATGGGATAATTTAATCATTCCCCTAATGTTGGGCATTTAAATGTTCCAACATTCTGTTTAACTTATGCTACGCTAAACTTATTTTTTGTGCTTAACTGATTATTTTCTTATGAAACATTCCAAGAAGTGGAAATACTGGTTAAAGGTTATACATATTTTAATTTTTTGATCTATTGCAAAATTGCCCTCCAAAAAGTTATGCTTCCATCAGCAATACCTCTTCACCAATACTTAGTATTTATCCTTTACCAACCTGACTTGTGAAAATGATGTCTTATTTAATTTGCACTTCTATGATTTTGAGTGAATTTGAAATGGAACAATTTTCATATGTTTATTGATCATTTGTACTTCTTTTAATTGCGTGTTCATGTCTGTTTCCCATTTTTCTATTGTATTGTTCTTCATATATCATGGAAATTGACCACTCATCTTATATATTGTACTTCATGGCAGTATGTTTTTCTTAGTCTGTGGTTGTCTTTAAATTTTATTATTATGTTTACTTCACATTAGAAAGTTTAAAAGTTTTCTAGTCAAGTCTATCAACATGTTCTCTTATGTTGTCTTCATTGTCATGCTTTAAAAAGCCCTTTTCTACCTTCAAGAAATTTGAAACTTTCACCTATATTTTCCAGTAACACTTCAGTTGACTTCCTTTTGTATTTGCTTTTTTCACTGACATCTTTAATCCATCTGGAATTTATTTTGGTTTCAACTAGTAATTTAACTTTATTGTCTTTTCCAAATGATTAATCATTTGCTCTGACACCATTTAGTGAATAAATCATCCTTTCTTCACTGACTTAGAATGACGTATTCCATACACAGATTGTTTCTGGCTTTTCTAGTATGTTCCACTGATCAATCTATGCTGGAGTCAACACCAAACTGTTGTAAGTATTATGGCATTATAATACTTAAATGTCTGGTAGGAAAAGCCTCATCACTTTTTTCAAAAATATCTTGGTAATATCACACATTTTATTTCTTCAGATGAACTTGGGATTATTTGGTCAAGTTTTTGTTTGTGTTGTTTGAAATATAGATTTACTTGGGGAAAAGCTGACACCCTTCCAGTAGTGCACCTTCCCATCCAGGAACACTGTACATTCTTCCATTTAATCCAGGTCCTCTTTACATATCTCAATAAAGCTTTTTAGTTTTGTTCACATAGGCCCTGCAGTAATACTCTATTTAGAAAGTATGAGTAGTCCTATATTCTTCTGTCTTCTCTGTAGGTTCATAGTGAAGGTGATGACCCAACAACACTCTCCTCATTTGAATGATGCGACCCCACAGATGGTGGGTAACTTCCTGGCCTTACCTCCTCTGCCCCAAATAGGATTTTTCAGAATGCACAAACTGGAAGAAACCTAATCAGACACTGACCTCAACTCATACTGTATGGCACCCCCAATGGGGCTGAAAGAAAACAATTGAAATGGGGTGTCTGTGGAGAAAATATCTGAAAGCTGCCTCATGACCTCTTTTCCTGCTAGAGCTTTGAATTATACTCAAGGTGTATGAGGAAGAATAGGACCACAAAGATGCAGAACACCATCAGGCAGTCAAGGATTTCAGAGCCAGGTGGCATGCTGAAGACCTCATGCCAGCCTATTCTGTGACCATTCATGGTAGTCAAAGGTTTGGGACTGTTCCAATAAGAGCACTATTAAGTATTTAAATGTGCAGTGTTTGCAGTTCTAGAGTGTAGACTTACCTCCTTCAACAGGGAGAATTTTTGTCTTTTGCCAGAGATTTCACAGTAATATTTTTTATGAGACTTATTATAGGTTGTTGATACACTTTTGCTGTTGGAAGTCAAAGGTGTCAATGAGCTGGGTGTAATGTTTGTAGAATCTGAGAAGGAGGTGGATAGGCATTTGTGTTCTCCGCATTATGCAGTCACCTAAGCTATAGCATGAGTACAAAGGACCTTCTAGGACCACCCCGGAGCAGGCCCAGGTCCCACTTACACGCTTCTTCTGTCAACTGAATACAGAAAAGACATCCACAAGGCCATGCATACCCTTACTAGACAATGAACAAAGACACCTAATGACCTCAGAGTGCTCTGTCTATACCCACCCCCAACATATTGCCACTGGATGCAGTGGCCACATTTTGTGCTGGCTCTACCATCAACTCCTTGGGGCTTGGGGCACATCATTTCAATGCTTTGTGTCCATTTCCATAACTGAGGAGTCGAGCATCACATTGGGGCATTTTATTAAAACACTTTAAGGTGGTTTAGAACCCAATGTATTTGTATGTATTTCTAATTATACCCAATGGGTCCGAGCTACAAGGAGACAGATACTGAGTTTTCTAGAAAGAAGAGCCTTATAACAGGGTTCGGAAATGGGGTGAGCTGCAACTCAAGAAAAGGTGGGGCAACCACTTTGCAGGGATGCTACAGAGGGGAATCAAGCCTTGTACAGAGGCGTGGGTGTTGTGTGACTAAATAGCGTTGCAAATTCTTCCCAATGTGTGAGATTCATAGCCTTATGGACTATGATTTGGAGCAAACCAACAGTGTGATGCCAGGCAGGTCAATTTTATCTTAATGTGCATCATTTTCTTCAGCTATATAACGGGGTTATAATAATCCCTGTCATACTTTGTCTTGATTGTTATTACCCTTTGTAAGCTAAGCAAATAGGAGGAAGTTTTTTATTTTATGTCTTAATTTATTGTTATTTTATGTCATTATGTTTTGTAGTTAATGTATAAATAAGTATGTATAATATATATGTTATTATGTTATAGTTTGTTTTAATTCACTGTTATTACTAAGAACCCTGATAACTTCAGCTATATTGGAGAAGTAGAATAAATAGGAAAGAAATAAGAGCAACCCAGTGATTGTACATTGGCTATGCCTCATTTGGGGAAGTTGATAATTCAGGTGAGAGAAGTGGATTGAAAACAACCTTTCGAGACTCTTTGTTGCATCTCCCATCTCAGTTCCTAATCCAAACTGTATAGATGAGTCACAGTCATATTTTTAGGAGATTCCTTCCATATGTGTCTTTGAAACTTCAACCAGCTCTGTCACTATTATGCATCATTTTGACATTTAAAGTTCTTCTACTTGAATAGAAACATGTGCCATATGTATGTATTTGTATGTTCTAGTGTGTAATGTGCTTTATGTGATCATATATATATATATATATATATATATGCACAACGATAATTCAGAAACCCCGCATGTACACATACCACACCTGTGCATTCACACATCCATAAATATACACGTGTATAAGCATCTTGTTTATGCATATGATGTACATGGCTTGCAATAACAGTGCCTCTCTGACACTATATTAAAAGCCCTGATTTTTTTTAAGGGCTTTTGAAAACAAAGAGGAGACCCAATGACTCCAGTTATAAGAGACAGTGTTCCAGTAAGTTATTATCTTAAAAAGAGAGGGTAGAGGTATTAGGGACCATTATTTTTTGTTATTTCTTGGTTAGTTGTAATACTTTGGCCCTTCATATGAAAGACTCTGCAAATATATCTTATTGAGGACCTACTGTGTGCCTGTCCTATACTAGGAGCAAGGAGGCAAAGTATTGAGTGAAATAGATGTTTTTGAGTGGAGCTCCATTTCTTTCTTTGAACAGCTGTGCTCCTGGGGATCTCTGGGTCTGAGCATGTATGTGTGTGTGTCTGTGTATGTATGTTTCTTTGTACCTGTGACAACTGAAGGTGTATGTGACACTGATCATTTTTCTTCAGAGAGAACTTCCTTTCACTTGCTGTGATCCACCTCACAAAGAATGGGCCTTTTCTCTGTTCGATATTTATAACCCGCAGGACTGGGGGTATGATCACGAGCAATTTAAACACAACTGGAAACTGCATGAAGTTCTCTTTTATAGAAGTTTTACCTATATATATACTATGAAAACTCAGCATCTTATTAGCTCAAGTATGATCTTATGCATAATTACAGCCATCAGGAGGAGAAACCATTTACCCGGGCCCAAATCTGTGCTGTGCCATGCCAAAGGAGTGACAAATTCTACCATGGATCATTTTCTCTGAGGCATTCTTGGCTTTTAGATAAGATAGGACATCTTATTTTTAAAATCAGTGAGTAATCCTAAGAAAGGAGGTGCCATCAGGACCTGAATCGTTCATCCTTTTGAAAACCAAACAACATAGCATCGAATAAAATCAATCTGGTTTAATAGTTCAATTCTGTGTCATCAAACTGTTCAGGGCCATCTCTGGCCACCGCTTCATCTAGCGGGATATACCTTCACACCCTTTCTGTCTACAAACACTCAAGGAAGGAGACTCCAGAAACATATTAACAGGGCTGTCTACTCTTTGTTCTCCCAGGGAAACAGAAGTACCTGTGTGCCAGCAGAAATGATTGCACCATCGATAAATTCCGAAGGAAAAATTGTCCATCTTGCCGTCTCCGGAAATGCTATGAAGCAGGGATGACTCTGGGAGGTATGATACTTTTATTCCTCCTTATCCTCCTCCCTCTGTCTCCCTTATTCTCTCGTTCTTTCTTTAAACCAGATTCTCCTCTTTGATGCTTTCAAGGAGGCCAGCCATGCTATAGATACAGGCTGACTCCTTCATATCCAACATGGCCTTCAGCCAGCCAGCTGGTACCTTTCTTTATCCTTAACCATGCCACACCCTACTCTGGGGCTCGGCATAGGAGCAGAAGGTGTGAAGCACAGGGATCAGGACCCATCAGAGGGTGAGTGTGGACTTGACCCTGAAGGGATCCCCAGGGGACATAGTGGTACTGGCCTTATGCTGTTAAATGGCGGCTCGGATGAGACAACTAAGGAATCCAGAACAATCACAGGTACAGGATGACCCAACCACAGGCTGGCCTTGAACACCCAAGAATATCTCTCAGTTAACTGGTGCCTGCATTGTAGGGCTGGCTACCTAAAGGAGAAGCTGCTCCTCTTTGGAACCTATAACTAGGCTGCCAAGCAGAGCCAATTTCCTATCCCACATCTCCCAGGCTTGAGTAGGCCTTTTAATCATTTCCTTTTCTTTCCAAATCAATTGATCATTTCCAAAATCATTTTTAGGTAGCACAGTAGTTTGACAGAGGTGAGATCCAGCTCTTTGAAGGACACCCCCCATCATAAGGCTCTCTGTTCCATAGCCTCTGTCCACCTGGAGTACTGTCACCGTTCCAGAAAGGTTTGGCTGACACTTATATTAATCTCCAAAAAGTTCCTCATTTTTTCATGTTTACATTTGCTTAGTGCCAGAGTCCTCTCTGCTGCCTGCCACTTCCAAAAAGATGCACCTTTCATGAGAAAAGCAAGCTCATTAGTCTACTTAGATTTGGAAATGGAACGTGAGGAAAGATAAGCCTATTTCTGAATGCCTAAAATGGTAAACTCACACCTGATTACTCATTATCAGCCTGGAAAACCCAAGCACCTGGAATCCTGCCTTCTCCAGTCCCTCTGTCAAGGTTAATTCAGAGCACTTGTCCATCTCTGGCTTTCTGCAAGGTGTTCAGTACCTCGTATGCCTATGTGCATATGTATAAAAACCAACTTGTTTTCTAACCACATATGGGTCTTATGTGGATCACTGTATCCTCCCCTCCTCACAGCCCAGTAATAGTCTTTAAACAGACCAAAGCACTACAAATAAATTGACCCAGGATCAATTTGAGATGGTTCCAACAGAAGCATCTCAAGTAGTGTCTAGCATTCCCAGACATCACAGGCAGATACTCCGTGAGTGCTTTTCCAGGCAGTCACATCAAATGAAACTCAAATATCTGAAAAAAAAATCAATCTTATTCGTGTTTGCTTGGCATACTTCAGCTAAAATCTACAATTGTTGTCCACAATTGTAGTGGGGAGGAAGAAATAAGACTGGGGTGGGGGAGTGCAGAAGGAAAGCCAGAGAGATTGACAAGAGGAAGTTTTCTCCATATGAATGTTGTGGCCCCATGGTGATGGTTCTGGTACACTCAGCTCTCAATTATTTAGCTCTCTGTGAATTATGTGTAAGAGATGGGGGCCTCACAGGTGGAGACCTCCTTGGCTTTCCATCTGCTGCTATAAAGTGCATGCCCACTTTGATGCAGATAAAACTCAGTGTAACAAAAGCCCTCATAACATTTGGGTCCAGATCTTAAAATTAGTTTAATGTCTCAGCCAACATCCTGTATTCTAATGCAGTCTGCAACATGATGACAGCGAACCCCTGTGAAAAGGAGTCTGTGTGGAATAGATAATTTCATGACTGCATATAGCAGACAGACATAAATCTGTAAATTAATTTCTTGTTGAGGTGTGGTATGATAAGTTTCCAAATTGACTTATTGGATAGAGTGCCCAACTTCAGGCTTGGTCAACACAATGAAAAGATGCTTAAGAATGCTGTGGTTGACTTTGGTTTCAGTTCTATTTCTATGATAGTTCCTGTGTCGGCAATGTACAGGGACCACGCTAGGCAATAGAGCTTCAGGCTGCTAAGCTTTAAGAAACATTCACAAGATACAAGGAATCCTCATGTCATGTAAATGGTCTTGTCTTTTGAGTCAGGTAGACCTAAGTTAAAGGCTCAGCTCCATTATTTACTGTCTCTTCTAAGACTCAATTTCTTCATCTGTAATTTTAGAGCTATCACTCTCACAGAGCTATGGGGGTCAGATGACATAATAATGTGAACATCCTTGGTAAATGACAAAGTGCTAGACAAATGTGAGGGTTTATTATGGCAGTGAGTTTACTAGTAACTTAGCTGGTAAGGCTGTTTGCAGCACTTCCCAGTTGGCTCTTACTCTGAGTTATTGGGCATGCCCTATAATATTTAACAGCTCCAACAGGCAGAGCATCACCAGAAATCACTCTTGATCACCTTAAACCAAAAGTGCTATCAAGATGCTTTCAGAAGATGATTCTAGTAATTAAGGTAATCATATATTATGTTCAAGTACCATGTCATTAGGAACTCAAATGTTTACCCTCTTAGACACCATTGATTGAAAAACAAACCTTTCCATTTCGCTAAACTTATCTCTACATTCCTTAATTTCCTGCTGCAAACCCTTATTAAGTTGACTGTGAACTTTCAAATTCAGTGTATACCACACCTTTACTCAAAGAATCGAAAAAGGAAAGCATCAATACAGACTGGCCTTCTGAATACTTTAGCAATAGACTTCTCTTTTCATAAGATGTGGGTTCATCATAAACATTTTGATCACCTTGAAGGAGGATTCATATAATTTCATTTTATTCTTCCCATTACTCAACTCAAAATTGTATAACATGTTCCAAAATGGCAGCTAGGATTGTGGCCTTCGGTAAGTCCCTTCTCTGCTCTGAGGCTTTTTTTCCCATCATAAAATTGGGATAGTGGGCTTGACCAAGGACCTTTCTGGCACTACCATGTTGCGATTTTATGTCTAAAGTCACAGAGAAAGGACTGCAAGTTTATGAGCTCTTTTTTCGGGCTGTCTGTCCACTGCTTCCAGAAATATAGACAATCTAGACTTGAGTCCTTTGACCTGCATTGTAATTTTCGCTACGTCAACTCGCACCTCAGTAAGATGTATTGTGTGTCTAAAAGTAGGCTAGATAGATATATTATTGAGGCGGTGGAGGGCAGAAGGACTGTATCTTAGAGAAGTTGGCACTCCACAGATGATGGATGGCTGCTTAGTCTAGAAGCTTCACGATCTCTAATCTGGCTTTCTCTATAATGTTCCATCTACTGTTTGGTGATGGGATCTCCTCACCTCAGAGATACCTAAAACACATAGCCTTTTCCTTTGCGCTTGTAGGCCAATCTATCTGTCCACTGCTTCTATTCTTATCAGCTCTTGGTGTTTCTGAAAGGCTCTTGGAGGTGGCTGGATCCTTGGGGTGGTTCCCTGAAAGACTACTTCCAGGCTTTCAGCTTCCCATCCACCACAAGGGTAGGCCTTGCTCGGTACATGGTTCATTTCAGGCTGCTTTTAAAAAATCATAGATTGTGACTTGTTTCAAAAATCTAAACCCCTTGCCTACTTTTCATTTGAGAAAGTAGTTATAAATATACCTGTCCAGAGAAGGACCTTCTCTCTGGTGAATTAGCTGTGGGTTTTTTCCCCCAGCCTATAATTAGAATAAAGGCACAGTCATCTCACACTTTTCTCTGCACTTCCCAAGGATGTGTTCTCAGTTTACAAGACGGAATGGGAAAGAATTGCCCTTACCTGCCATCTTCTCTATGACCCTTGCCGCCTCCTCCTTTTCCCTCCTATCCCTCCCCAAACATTATTTCTTTTTGTGTCTTGCAACTCCTGAGTTCCCAGCCTTTAATAAATGGCATTGGTCTCTGCTACTCCCTCCTCTATTGGACCATGGTAGATTGTAGACCTTTCAAGAATTGCAGGTAGCAGCCAAACCCCAAAAGAAGAGAAGAAACATGGAATCCCAAGACATGTGAAAATCTGAGGTGTGCACAATTTTCTTTAGAGGTTACTCTATACTATTTGAGCAGTGTCTTTTCTACAAGGAGGCTGTCGCCACATCTGAGACTTAATGCAATCCCCATCAAAATCCCAATGGCATTTTTTAAGAAATAGAACAAAAAATCATCAGGTTTGTATGGAGCCACAAAAAACCCCGAATAGCCAAAGCAATCCTAAGAAGAAAGAATAAGGCTAGAGGGATCACACTCCATGACTTCAATTTATACTACAAGGCAACAATAATCAAAACAGCAGGGTATTGGCAGAAAAACACACACAGACCGGTGGAATACAATTGAGAACCCAGAAATAAACCCACATTCTATGGGCAGATAATTTTTGACAAAGGAACCAAAAACATGCAATGGAGAAAAGAAAGCCTCTTCAATAAATGGTGCTGGGAGAATTGGAAAGCTACGTGCCAAAGAATGAAACTAGATTGCTACCTGTCGCCATGTACCAAAATTAACTCAAAATGGATCAAAGACCTAAACATAAGACTAGAAACAATAAACTGCATAGAAGAAAACATAGGTACTAAACTTATGGACCTTGGGTTGAAAGAGGATTTTATGAATTTGACTTCAAAGGCAAGGAAAGTAAAAGCTAAAATAAATGAATGGGACTATATCAAACTAAAAAGCTCCTGCACAGCAAAAGAAACCATCGACGAAATAAAGACGCAACCAACCAAACGAGAGAAGATATTTGCAAACACGCCTCCAATAAGGGGATAATATCCAAAATATATAAAGAACTCATACAATTCAACAACAACAAAAAAAACCAAACAATTCAATTAAAAATGGGCAGAGAACATGAACAGAAACTTCTCCCAAGGAGACATTCAAACAGCCAACAGATACATGAAAAAATGCTCAACTTCACTAGCTATTAGGGAAATGCAAATAAAAACTTCACACCAGTTAGGATGGCTATCATCAACAAGATGAATAATAGCAAGTGTCAGAGAGGCTGTGGAGAAAAAGGAACCTTC